GTGGGTCGGGGGCGTTGGAGGCGACGGCAGAGCGAGAGGGAGAGCCGACGGTGGTGTGCGACCGCGAGGATGAGCAAGAGGGCGCGGGGAGAGGGTAGGAGAACTGAGCTGGGTACCGGGTGAGAATCACAGAGGTACGCTACACTTAACGCGACCCATGCGTACATATGTTACATGGATGAGCGTACGTATATGAGCGTCGATACGTGCACGTAAATTTCTACTGCCGGCTTGTTCGGTGTATTGGGGCCTTGTTGTCAGCAGGTTGCCGGATGCACATCCACCTACGGATCTCTCTGCTCTTCTCTGCTCCACTCTTCTGCTCTACTCCGCTTTGCTTTGCCCGCGAGTAACGCACCGCTGTTGTATATGTATATATACATTTGTATGTCCATACGTGTGTGTATGATTGAGTATATGTGTCTATCGAATGTATCGGGACTAGCTATACATACGGTTGACGTACACGACGTTTTGGGGATAATCGTCTCTACTATCGTACGTGTACTATTGGATCAGACTTAGGTGAATGTTGTAGGGTCGTAAGAACGAGATGAGCAGAGGAGAGACAGAGACGAATGTACGGATAAAAGGGAGCGTTGAGCAATTTCAGATTTGCTTCCGACACGAGTTGGTATTTCGTTTAGCAAGTTATTGAATCAGCAGCGCGGGTTTCGCGTTAACGCTAATTAACAGGTTATCGATATTTCTTTAACGAAGAAATTTTTCTGCTGGATAAATTGCGGTGAATAGCAGCTGTTCTTCCTTTTGAAATTTTATATGATCCGAAAATTGATAAAGACTAACAATAATTTATCCTTAGAAATCAATAAATGCTACGTAATAAACGTAGCAATATAATTTATTATTCTTATATTTCAACTTTTATATAAATTAATTGAATATTAATATATTTTACAATATCACAAAGCATAATTCTATTCCCTTTTCATAGTACTTTTTAATATTTGACCAACTTTTTTAAAATTCAATTAAAAATATATAAATGAATGGTAAATTAAACAATTATTCCATAATAAAAAAAAGTCAACAAAAGTCCATAATAAAAACAAGTTAAAGAAATACATATGTCGTCCTATGAACAGTAGAGTCTGTTCATTACAGGAAACATCTACTGATCCCCGAGAATGTGTAGTTGTTTCACTGACTGGCCAAACATCCTACGCACGTGAATCCATACACAAGGTCGTAAACGATCATATCCAATAATAGGATTTCAACCAGCAATTTTTATGATAGGTATGACAGAAACGAATGCATCCTATCAGGCTGATTATTACGTAAAATCGTTATTACATTCGTTTGCTCTTGTAGCAATCATCAATGATTGAACGTATGCATGCACGCAAATGCTTCGCTTATCGAAGGCTTATTGTCAATATGGCTGTTTGCATGCAGAACAGTAGATACGCCACATCTGTATTTGTCTTTTCAGTATTTCAGATCCTCTCTATTAATTCCCATTTCGCGTCAACAATATTTGCGTTCTATTTTGAGGATGCACGTGTTCACGCGGCACGCGTGAAAGATACCACGTTTTCCATGAATTTCTCACGTGAGGATGTTGTCTTGCTCCATTCCCCTATTAGCTTTCTCTGTGATTGATATATAACCCTGCTACGAAGTCCTTAAGAGGTCTCGCGTCGAGTCTGGATTTATCGTGAATTTACGATAACAAGCAAATTTTCATTCAGGTAAACAAGGATATTTTTCATAACTATTCTTATACCTATCTATAAAAAAGAATAAAGCGTTAATAATTCAAGTTTACAGATATTTCTCTACAATGAAATATTCCAATGCAGGTTTCTAACTTTCTTTTAAAGATTTTACATTTCTCGAATGTTCAGAGATTTCAAAACATGTTTCCAAGATATTTTAATAAAGTTTAAAATTGAAGAAGTTATAAAGATTTTTTACCCTTCACAGTTTATGTGAAAATCTGTATGGATTTTTTACAGAGTATCCTTTAGAATAACGACGACGCGACGATTCACGATATGCCATAAATTACTGAACCGATTGATTTGAACTTTGGCGTACGTGCTGAGAATATCTCTATATCTCTTACTACTTTTGGATCAATATTTTTAACACATCTTTGCAGTTTGCAGAAGTCTCATGTGCTGCGTATTTAAAGTAACCCACGAACAGTACCATGGTTGCTCATGAAAAGTGAATTTTTTACCAATTATCGTTTTGTAATAATACCATCGGAATATCGTGATGTTATTTGTAAAACAATTACAAACAATAATTTGTCTACTTTTCATTTAATCTTAAATAATAATAAAGTATGTAATTGTTTGAGCTTACCGATACAAATCACTGAAATAAAAGAAAGCAATGAAATCTCATTCATAATAAATTCTAAGTGTTACATTGAAATCTTGCTACAATTTTGAAAAAATTATTCTGACAATACACGCTAAGCAATGATTCCTACAATATTAATGATAAGAAATTAAAATCTTTCTGAAACAGTTCAATTATCAATAAATATACATACCTGCAAAATTACTATGTCGCTGTAAATGTATCATTTAAATAGAACAGCTGTTTAATTTTTTCCAAGCGTAAAAGCGATACGGACTAAACGATTAAACTTAGTCAGGGCTTACGTTACAAAGTTTATCGGCAAGGGATTCTGTGTCCTTAATTGCACGACGTTCCGCGGCGAAACATTTTTGTTTCGCGACAGTGAGCGAGCAACGCCGCGGAAGCGCGACCGATGTTTTATTGTGACAAGGCTCAAGTGCGAGGTGTTCGGTGCACGGGAGGAAATATACAACCGCGAGCTTTAAAGTGCACCGATGCACCGCGCTCGAGAATTTCCGTGGATATAGAACGCGCACGGTTCGTAGGAGTAGACGCGCCAACGCGACCACGTATTATTACGTAAGCATTCGATACTAAAGAATGCCGTGCACCAACCGTCGCGGTATTTTATTAAACGTTTCTCTATTTTAAATGGAAAAACGCGAATTTCTACCTTTGATAGAGAGGAAATGTTATGCTAAGAATAGGATAGGCGAAAAACATTTTAAATGGGAAGAAATTTGCGTGATTGTTGTTTAAATGTATATTGCATTGAAATTATTTTATAAATGGTCACTTAGAAATAACTAGTGCAGAAATGTTATATTAAATCTGTAGCATAGAATTTTGGAAAGTAAATTTATTTATGTGTTTTAAGTAATTCTATTTGAAGATTTCAAGATCCTCATTGGCAAACGCTTATCAATTTTTGCAATTTTTTGAAATCAAGATGAATTCCGGTGATTATCCGAATGAAAATCAAATAAAAATTTTGTCAAGATATTGTTTCAAAAGGTAAGCAGAGAAAAATCAGAGCGAAAGAAAATGTTCGAAAAGAGTTGATATTTTCCGTCATCCTCGTTTAATTAAAAACATATAATCATATTAAATGATGTAATTATATATTATCAACTAGTCTTGCATAGAAACGCTTTATTCTCAGCTAGTAGGTACATATGTTTGTTTTAAAATGTATATGTAAAGTATTCGAATCATTTGCCCGGAAGAATATCGGGAAGAAAATGGGAAACCTGGCCGAAAATAACGGTTTGGTGATACGAAGAGGAGGCGAAGTAAGTTCGAGATGACAGAGTGGGGTCAGAGGATAACTCGGGTCTCGACCGGAGCTGCTTTTGACACGAATACGTTTATGCGATCACTTGGCCTCTCGTTTCTCATGTTAAGGCTCTGTCCACACCGACACGGATCACTTATCGGTTATTTTATTTCAGGAAGAACGCGTCGCCGAGCTTCTTTGTAACTCAAGAAAAAAGATTTTCACCCGCTGATATTCTAAAGGGATATTTCAGCTGGGTCGCGAAATTTCCTTTTTTCCGTTTTTCCTCGTCTTCGCTCGCGCTTACTTGGATACGTCTGAATCTATAATGCTTTTGATATCAAGCTTTAGTCGGTTGGTATAATCGAGTCGCTTCGCGGTGAAATAAAAAAAGAAAAGACGGGGGAGGAAAAAGACAGAAGAGAAAAAGAGAGAAAATGAAATCCGCTGACGACAGAGCTTGGTTTTTAAGTGAATCGCATCTGTAAACGCGACGTCGCGTAACACGAGTGCGCGAAACACCGCGAACCTATTAGCGCGTGAAATGGAGCGACTTGAAAGAAACGAATTCTATCCTCATCGAGGACGACGGTAATCTACGTAATCGCAGACACGCTTCAAAGCGTTCAACTTAATCCGAGATGCAGGAATTTTCTCGACTACTAGCGCGTAATTAATTCGCGAGCAGCATCAATTAAATCGCGACTCACCGATGTCGCGAGTGCATACTTCTACAAATCGGTAGGACAAGAAAGGAAAGGCTTACTCTACCTCGGCCAACGTCCATTATATTAATACATCGGTATCGATTCTGTCATTTAAAATCAACGATTCGAATGGAAGCCTGCAGCGTGTCTTCGTATAATTACGAGCGGCGTAAAACAACGGCGACGGACGCGCGGATTCGGCTTTGATATCGGCGCAAATTAAAAATATCATTGTGATATCACCGCCAACTTCGAGGAACATGAAAAAAGCGTGACGTACAAAATTTGTCCCTGTGTAATTGCGATAAAAGTATATTTATATATTTACATATATACATGTATATATGTGTATGCGGCAGAGTAAATTAACGTTTCGCGTGTAGCACCTTGCCAACGCTACGCTATAAAAGAAACCGGTGCAAATGGGTTAAGGACGAGATACTTTTCAACATCAAAATCGCAACACGCTCGTGTAGTTCTTTTCTTGCCCGTTGACGCGTTTACTACTCAGCCCACCCATCCGGCGACTTCCGGTGACATGATGACGAGTATAACTCCCGGGCCATACGACGCATTAAACGCGAGGACAATTAAATGGCCCCTTCGCTGATTCCCGCTGGTAACTTATTCCCAAAGTTTCCAAACTTGGTCGCGCAAACAACTTTAATTAAATATCTACCAGCGATGCCTGCGCGTGTTCGTCGATGAACCACAGACGAAGAAGGAAGAGCTGGAAATAAAAGAAAAGAAACGATCGTCGAGCGAAGAACAAGAGGAAACGAAGAAAAGAAGGTAAAGTTAAAAAGGAGAAAGATTTACGGAGAAGCGATAGAGAAAAGCGAAAAAGCGAGAGAAGTAAACGTGAATATCTAATAATGTAATACTAGGCTAATTCTCTTTAGAAGATTCGGAATCGCGGTTTTCGTTAATGAAAATGAATAATGAACAGGGTAGATAATCATACCGCATTCGATGTACACAACCACCCCCAACCACGCCATTTTCTAATTGAGTCCATCATCGTATTGGCATACCACGGTTTTCGTTAATTATAATGAATCGCGAGTCCCAGCAACGCCTGTATTAGGGTAAATACAAGACTGACTATTTTTGTTACGTGGAATCGAATTACCGCTACGTTTCTGTAGACAAGAGATCACTGCGATATCAGAAAACCGTTGTGATGAAACATAACGAGAAAACTTGTCACGACTTACCCTCGGCCATAAAGAACGTGATTTATATTCGTACGTATAAATTATGTAAATTCTGAATTTTTTAGAATACTGCTTGAAGATACAGTTATTTGTCTGATTGCTTTTTAGTGTGTCGATTTGATTAATTGTATAAATTGTAGACTGTAGTAAAATATTGACATTATCTGTATATATGATGTTTATTATGTTGATTAATTTAATTGAAGTAATCACTAATTAAGTAAATGTGAAAAATGTAATCAGCAATAATAGTATGCCAACTATTTAACCATTAAAAAATAAATTGTTTTTAATTTAATCTTTATGTATTTTCGACCAATCGCGGGGAGATGCAATCGCGAGGAGAGACGTCAACGGGAGTCGTAAATTCCTGTTACGATTATAATAATCGACACCACGAGTTGATCTAACCCCTGATTTCATTTAGTATAACACTGTGATTCACAGGGTTATAAGGTATTTATTTCCAACACTTAAGTTACGTTGAGTAAGTATAAATCGTAGATGACAACTTGTCGCACGAAGATAAGATATATATGCACAATAGAGCAAGGCTCTTATAGTTGAATTTAGTATGTTAGTGGACGTAGCACTAGAGGATACTTAATTTAATAGAGGAAGTGAATGTTCGGTAATCCCGAGAACCGACTTAGATAGATGATGTGAGTTAGACTATGTAGAATAAGTAGAGTTGACTTTTCTAGCGGTGTAGAAGTAAGGTAAAGTGATGATGCTATATCGGAGGAAAGCTAGCGATGGGTGTGTCTAGCGCACGGGACCATCGGATTTGTTTATGACATTTTTGGTCAGGAAAATGAGGGCAGTATACATTGCTTCTGATTGGATAAACGAAGGTTGGTGGACTAGGAAGGGTCTTAGCCGCCCTCGATAGAAAGTTGTTAGTAGGAAGCATCGTACCTGAGAAAAACTAACTTTCCCTTGTCAAGCCGTAATAGACAATAGTCTTTAGAAAATAATTTGGAAAAAAGATATTTGTTCTGTCTGAAGGACCTTAGCTAGCAAATTACTGGGATTTATGATGGGTCCTTAAGACTATTGAGGGTACGCAGTAAGGATGAGCGGACATCTGGTTCCCGTCTGGCCCGCGGTGTATGACCTGATCTAGGTAGAGGGTCGCCCGACATAACACTTTAATAAATTCAAAGAAGGCGTATAATTTAAGATCTCAGAATCTAAGCATAGATACGTAAACATCCACAGTTTATTTATGATAATCGCATCGACACCGGCCAATCTTCGTAATCAACGTTCGTCATCAATCCGCCACTCTTGAAATCATTTCGATCTTGACTGGAAGCATCAGCGTGGAGTGGGTCGGGAACGAAAAATCTCTCTCTTTAGGAAAATTATCGACGGTTCGGGGGAGCGCGATCCAGTCGAAAAGCACCATTGATACGAAAACGAGTATCGACTTTGACTGTCCACCGACTCTCACCTTTGCCAGTGCGTTCCTTTTAATCTATCCGCGTGATGCAACGGACTGCAACGTTCTTCTGCCTCCGAGGGCTTTCGGATAGCAGTAGAGGAAGAGAAAATGAGAGGGAGGGAAGAAGGAGAGGAAAAAGAAGAGAAGATGTATGCGGAATCGCGCGCGTCGAGTACGTGGAACGCATTACACGATCATCGCGTACGGAAAGCCCAGATCAATTACATAATGGCGCGACTGAAACGGATGCTCTTCAACCACCGCCCCGAGCCCCCTTAGCCCCGTCCCACCCCAAAGCGTCCCTGCGCTCCTGGCACAGCCCCTTTCGCAAAGTGACTATAGAACAAAGGGTTGAGCCTCTTCTCTGCGGGCGCAGTAATTATTATGCTCTTTGACGATCCCTCTGTCTGTCAACGGTAACGCCAACGGAATCGATACTTCTAAAACTTTAATCGTTTCACGTATGAGTGACATGCTTTCGCGTTAAGCCGCATGTAAAAATATTTCACGTCCGCAGCCGAGCCTCGGGGGAGACGAGGAGGTGTCGAGAAGGGTACCATCTGTGTCGATGATTTTCCTTTCATCTGAATCGATGACTCGGTGGAGTAAAAACTTTATAGATCGGTAGATATAGGGAAATGTTTCGATTTAACGGTAAGATGTTTGGTTTGACTGAGTGTGTCGTGCGAAGATTTCAGGTTGAGGGATTAATAATCGTCTAAAGGATTAACAATCGATAACGAGTTCTTCTTATTTAAGAAGAATGTACTTAAAATATCTTATTGAATATGATATGTCTTATTAGATATATCCATGTACTCGAAGATTTTGCAACCCATACGCCGAGCCACCTTAAACTTTACAAACACTTACCTCAGTAAAGAAATAAATCAATCAAATTCGAAGATGGTATCTCACTGGGGGTAGCCATCCACATGTTATATTATTATACCACTAAGCTATAATATTTTACCAAATGTCCTATTGGACAAATTGTAAAATTCAAATAAATAAATAAAAAAAAAAAAACCTTAAACTTTAGGCCATTAGGAACACTGTATAGGTTCCAAGGACCTTGACCAATTGTATGGATTTTAACAACTTCCACAGTCCCCATAGTTGATTATATGGTTCTAATGTATGCCATATTGCTTAAATATTAAATATTATATTATTATAGTAAATATATTTAATTTAATTCTTAAACGATTAACATTAGTTTGGGATCTGTTTCGTGTGGTATAAATAATCGTCGTGGATTGATACGTACGATTGATTACGAAAAAATCATGTTAACTATGAGAAATTGTGAAAATCGTATATCCATAAAAAAATGTGTAGAAAATATTCTGCAACCACCTTAGAGGAATGTTATTCTTTTCTTCAAGAAAGGTATATTCTGTCCCATTAATTTACAACCAATTCAATGATTTAGATAAATATGAATATAAAGAATATTAAACCTGCAGACATGTTTGTCAACTTATTAGATAAACTTTCAGTCTTTCCAATTTTCGAATTTTGAACATTTAGCACTATATTCTACAAGAACTACTAAGAGATATTCGATATTACTTCAAAGACGAACAGAAATAAATACATTCGATCAAAATACAACGAAACGCAGCACATAACAATTAAAAAATTTCTTATCGTGCCTATTACAGCGAATCAGACGTTGATAAAGGAACGAACAGATAAGAAATTGTTGACTCTATGTATATCAGTGAAGGAGAGGGAATACAGAAGATAAACGGAGGATCATGATATTGCCGAGAGTTAGATACTTTCCTGGATCAGTAGTGAAAAATGATAGGGCGCGATCGAGCTGGCGTCGCTGGGATCTCATTATACCCCGTGGAAAGACGAGATCGTCTCCGTAGAACTTCTTTTTCGCCTGGAAGGAAGGAGGGCCTCCCGTTTCACGATACAGAAACGCTTTCCTCGTTAGTCTTAATTTTCTCTTGCGGCCCGACATAGGCGACGACACTTCATATCGCGAACGACAGTACATTCGTGGGAGCGTTAATGACACCGTGGAATACACGCGATGAATAAGATCGTAATAACGAGTGCCAACCGTTGTTCGCAACGGACCCCTTAATTTTCCTGCCTAATGTTTGGATTAATTTTCCGTTCGTCTTTTTCGCGCGCCGCGTATTTACTTTTGTTGAAATAAAACAAAGAATGTAGGCCGCTGTCTCCTATCTGAATATGAAAATCTCTTTTGCAGCTGTATCGTCACAGATTCTCTGTGTATACATACAATATGCATGATACACACTTTCCGGCGAATCACAATTATAATATATATAAGTATATGTATATAATTTTGTTTCAGCGGAATATCGTCACTGCCAAATACTCAATAGCATCCTGGATAATTTAAAATATTATTTTGTTACTTCTGCAGGGGATGAGCGTGTACATATAAAGCGCGCGCTCATATTGTTCCTTTCTGATTCTACATTAAAACTGTTTCACAGTATTTTGTTGTTCCATTTTTTATTTGGAACATGCATGTAGACATTTTATTTTGATATTTGAAATATACAAATTTCTGTTTTTCATAATAGATTCTTTATATATTATCATCTTAAATGATCTTGTATAATAGATCGTTAAATTTGTGCGAACCAATAATTCCACTAAAACGTAGAACGATATAACATTAATCTTGTCATATTTTTAACACATTTTATTTTAATACCAATCAGTAAAGCTAAGTCAGGCAAGACTATTTTACATCCTTTTTTTTTTTTTTTAGAACTTAATATTTTCTGTAAAATGTCAAGTTCTTTAATAAGAGATATTACAGATCTTTGACCAGAACGTATCTAATGATACGAGGCGAAAAAGAACTGAAGGAAATGTCTGACTTTTCAAACGCGTTTCTGATGGCAGATATCGCGTATCACTACATACATACACGCATAATATGTACACAGACATATACCAGAGATGCTCTTGGCCCGAGCAAAATCTCAGCCCGCAGGAATGACAATAGACTGTCAGATAATGAATCCCCACTGTCACCCCCTTTACCATCTCACGTCCTAAAACCCACCCTTTGCCATGCTCTCTCTTTCTCTACCTGTCTTTTTCCCGCGCGTATTTCCTTTCTCTCGGCAGCGACGGGTTCGAAACCATCAACTTTTACTTATCGAAGAACAAACTTTTTCACAACATCGATATCATAATGATAAATTAAACTGATCGAATCGACTACGAAATATTTTTCCAGCTAATTATTTATTATATCATTCTGAGTTTATATATCTCTAGTTTAGAATTTTAAATGAAGAAATTTAGTGAAAATTACTTACATTAAACTTACATCTTAAGCGTTTATTTTAAACTGCATAAAATATGAAAAGATAACGACTAATGTTTTGCTAATTCTATATTCTTTTTTAATTTAAAGATACAACATTGCGATATTGCTGTTAGGGATAATTTTCTTATGTATAATAAATAATTAGTTTTCTCCTTTCGCTTATTTTATATTAGTATTTTTTCTTTTCTTTTTTTTCATTTCTTGTAATACAACCAAATTAGAGTAAAAAGAGTCGTATCATTGCGTAAGCTAATAAACGATGTATGTAACTTTTACTTAGATCTCAGTTGTATCTCTCGCTAACTATACCCTTTATATTTTCCACCCTCTACTCTTGTAGCAAACAGGACTATGACCGAGTAGGCGAGGCGTCCACTTAACGCTAATGCCCCTTTTATTGGTCAAGATTCCAGTCAAAAGCTGAATAGACGCTCGAGTTATACTCCCAATTCAGTTTCCTCTAAAAATTGAACGAACAATTCATTATACCTGCTTGTAAATATTATATTCAATCCCGTAAAATCTCATTTGGCAGCTAATATAATTTTTATATGCTAAACGATACAGAATAACTTATATTGAACAAATTGAAAATAAATTAAACTTGATTTTTCCATTTAAGCAAATATTTTTATATTTTTTTTTTATTATGATTGATTACGTTATTTATAGCTATTCCTTATATCGTTTTCAATTCAACATTTAAACATAATTAATATTCATTTCCGTTTATAATTCACATATTAAAAAATAAAAGAAAGAAATTCAGTCGTTTATCCGCTTACGATTAAGCCGATGGGTTCTTTTAATCTAAAGTATAATGCGTATTTAAATTTATCATGGTACATGCGAATTCTCTTCCATTTTTTCCTTCCTTCTTTTTTTACGTGAACTCGGAAACGAATGAAGCAAAGCCGGAAAAAAGAATTGGAACGTGAGGTGTAACATATCGAACTGAATGTTGAAGCCAGTGAGAGAGCGAGTCGAAAAAAAATTTTGCCTGGGCCTGGAATAACTCCAGGCAGAAAAAGTGAACAAAAAATTTCCATAAAAATGCACTCGTACGTATAATCCGGATAAAGCTTAGCATCGTGAGAGCAGCTATGTCACCAGTGGAAATGGCGAAAAAAACAGAATTGGTATGTGGAAATGACGGTAATCGAAGATTGTAAAAGGGCACGTGAAGAAAATGTTATAGCATACAATAATTTTAAAGATATCTTCTTGAATAAAAAAAATATATATATATAATTATAAAAATTTATGTTAAAAATAAAACATGTTAAAAAATTATCTTTAACAGGAATAGTATATTGTAGTACATATATTAATGACGTATGAACTAAAATATGTATAGGTTAATATCATATTATAATGTTATTTTGTTAAATAAAATTTTAATCTAGAATAATTTTGTGAAAAAAATATATTTTCGTTACTTATTTTGATACATTCATGATAGTTTGTATATAAATATGGCTTATACATTTAGGACCTGAAATTCTTCTTTTATGTATATAATTTTGTTTCAGTCTCATAGAACAAAAGATTTGATCATTCCTTTTTTTAATCTTTTGTCCACAAATGATCGCACTGAATAAAATATTACTTCTAAATTGTATGTACAATATCAAAATATCTTAATTTCACTGATAGCTTTAACAAAATATTAAGGAAATTATTAACATCAACAAGAATGGTGTAGAATATATTTATTACAAAATACTTCAGATAATGTATACTCACTCACGTACGTTCGCACAAAATTTGGAAGATAACGACATTTGTTTATGTTGTCAAGTTGCAATATGAAAGTAGTGTTGCACTAGTTTCCCGTTTAAACTTGAGTGCAAAGTTATGTTCAATTACTATTGTGTAAGAAAGTTTGAATAAAAGAAGATATTCTTGTACCATATTATGAAAGAATGAAACTCAAATTACAAATGAAAATATGCACTTTAGAAAAATATAACCCTATTTTCATTGAGTGAACTTCTGTATGTTTGAAAAATACGTTACTTAAAAGATCGCTTTATATGCTTTAAAGTCAAATACGTGATACATTTTCATGAGATCTTAAGTTTTAATGATTACGCATCAGTCTTCAGACTGTTAACTGATTAGTCATTAGCAGTAAATTAAGCTTTATAGATCACAATGGTTTAGTACTTTACATTCAACAAAAATAGTCTGTAGTTTAGGCATTCTCATTAATGGGCCTCTTCTTATTCTAAAAAATAAATATAGTTTGTTAACACACAATTATATGTAATCAATTACATTAAATTTAATGCCGTTCTAACAATTATCTTACAGTTTGTTTAGATGATTTGACATCTGTACTAGAAGTACGTGTTTTGGACCTCTCTTGTTCTAATTGTGCATGTAAGGATGCTACTTCGGACGTCAACTCATCTCGTATTTCCTGTAATTTTGCTACTTCAGCTAATACTGACGCTTTATCTTTCACTAGAAACAAACAAGAAAATTAATCATATTCACAATAATACTAGAACTATCAGTAAAGAACTATTAAGCCTACTTTCTCCATGAGATAATATTTGATAAAGCTTTTTATTTCTTTCTTTAACTTGTGTTAATTCCTTTTTTAAGCTTTCTACTTGACTCCTTAATTCATTAATGATTTCGTCACGTTTTTCCACCTCTACCCTTAACTGAGCAGATGTAATATCATCATCGATTTTATTTAGTCTCGCCTTCAATATATCCTTTTCTTTTTCCTTTGTGATTTCTTCTTTTGTCTCCTTTTCAATTCTTTCAAAAAATTCTGTGTCTAATTCTATAAATAAATTAACTAAATTAATCATTTTATATCTACTTAAGATTTAAAATATGGAATTATTTTACCTTTGGATTTAGTATCGCCATTTTCTGGAGATAATACTGTATTTTGAGTAGTAGTAGTATTAATGGTAGTAGTTGTAGTAGAAGTATTTTCTAATCCCATATTGTTGAACTGCTCCAATGACATAGTAGCCTTTTTTGATTTTTTCCCTGATTTCTTATTTGACTCTTGCTCTTTTTCTGACTTGACTGCACTTACTAGCTGCTCTTCATAAGCCAGCTTTGACAGCAAGATGGCTTGATGTAATTCTTGCTCAAACGTTTCCTCGACAGCCTTAAGGAAATCACAATTGGACGTGATAACACACAACACTTATAAATATGTCACTACTGAAACAAAACCTTAGCTTTAACAATTTATATCTAAAACTAAACTATGATTTTCACACATATTAGTCAAGCCTGTGCTGTCCTTTATTACACACAATTGGTTGGGTGTCATTGTACCAATGTCCAGATAAAAACTTATTAAATTTATAACAAAAATTTCATTAAGCTAAAGACAAGTAAACAAAATACATTATAAAAAACTTATACATTACCATTGTATCTTTCTGTTTCCATTGTTCCCATTGTTGATTTTCATTGCTACTAGATTTTTTCTTTTTTCCCTATAAATAAAGAAAAGGTGTAAAATGAGTAAAACATTTATTTTACAAATTTCTGAACATTATTATGATGATATTACGAACTAAATTATTTTATTAATTATAAATTGATTTGCTTCCTACATTTCAAAATATATTGAGATTCATTATATACACAACTAAAGGTCAAAATCAATATTGAAGTTCGTTTCAAAATACAAGGTCCCGCCACGACTTATAAATACTATGACGTTTACCGGGTAATCGAAAACAAAAAAAAAAACAAAACTAAACGCATCATACCTTATTTTGTTTTTTCTTGTCATCCTTTTTTGGTTGCTGCTGTTGTTTCGATTTGTCGGTTTTAGATTTTTGATTCGTCTTACCGGCAGTAACATTCTTCTGGGTTTTCTTCGGCTTACAATCATCATCATCAATGCTGAGTACTGCGAATCTTGATGGTACGGCGGTCGCCATTTCTGTGAACTCTGAATATACGTATTGATAACGAAAACTACAGAACTTCCGGTATCATTATAGTCATAAAACTTGTTATGTTCATTGGGTCTTGTGTTATTGCATCGTGTATCATGTAAAAAATGATATAACCTAGTACAAACGAACGACTTACATGCCTATACTTATCGCACACAAACGGATGTATAAGGAAAAATGAAGAACGATGTTAAGCTACCACATAAACCGGAAACGAATAGTAAACGTCATTGCGAACTTTCAGCGCCTCTAGCGGAAAATATTATGGAAATTACACTTACCCGCCCGGCGACACAGTAAGACCAACTGTAGAAGTAAAAATAAGAAAGTTGTATATTTCAAAGTTTCAAGAGTTTAACAAGGTACTTATACCTGAAAGAAAATAAATTTATTACTATTATATATCTCAAAGTACTTACATATTTAGTACCAAATATCACATTTGAATTGTTTTATACATACATACATGCTATAATCTTTTCCTTGATTTGTATTAAAGTTTTATTACTGTTTACCACAATATAACGATATATAGTAATTAAGAAACGTTATCGATGTTAAATAGTTTGCAACTTATTTTGTAATTAATTTTGTATACATTTCGATTTACATGTCATAACTGATAAAAAATATTTTAGTTCTATAACTTTAATATAATATGATATTATACTTTTATACTTGTACAAAATTTAAACGTATCAGTTATTAAAGTTATAAGTTGATTCATTTTTATATTTGAATTTATATTTACATCATAGTTATTGTTTCATACTTCATAATATTGTAAAAAAATGTTCGTAATAATTTTACAACTAAACTGTATTTCTTTTTGTTTATTTGTTATGCACTAAATTTAGTTTTTTAAACTTTATGTTTACGTTATGTATACAAAATACAAAAGTATATTTATATTTAATTGTAGCATAAAATGCATCCTACATAGTATCAAAAGCATAAAATTTATATATAAATATATAAAGTATATATATAAATTATATTGAAGTGATAAACTATGAGGAATGTATGTATATTACCAAGTATTACTTAGCATTTAAATCCTTATAACCTTTGATCTTTTATATAATTTTGTTATCATATATAGAATAAAGTCTTTTTAAAATCAACAATGTTTATTTATTCCTATCCTGAAAATAGTATTTTAGCGCAATTAACAATTATTGGAATAATTATAAAATTGTAGAATTACTAAAATAAGATATGTATATAAGTAGAAATAGGTAGAAAGTTAGGAGATAGATAAGATGCAATAGTTGGCAACACTGTCGGATCGAGAATCTCGAACAACGAGAGAGAAGGAAGTATCCATCACACATCCATCCATCCACCGTACAGAGCCCCGTTGCACGTCGGGAAATTGAACATGTACGTATGTCGTATGAGCGACGTAGAGCGTTGAATGTGTCGATTGCGTTCGGGGTTGGCTTGCACTTTTCGCGGTTAAATGTGCGCGCAGCAACGTCGCATGGTCAGCTATCAAGACGTTCGCGAACCCTTCTAGTTTATAGTGACTAAGTGATAAGAGGTGAGGTGAAAAGAGAAACTTCTTTTCTTGGGACGCTCGCCAATTTCGGAGCTATAACATTCTATTGCGGCGTCGTTTTAACAAACAGTCGGGAGACACATAAAGGTTCACTGCTGTGTATCTGTGTGTGGAATATATCCAATCACGGAATTCGCGGGCTAAGATGCCCGACGTGGCTCCCGCGGACAACGTCGGCATCGAGATCAACGAAGATCGACGAAGCGGTGCACGGAGCGACGCTCGCTCCTGGTTTCCCGCGAATACACCTCCGATTCCATTTTTATCTATGCCCGCGCATATGGGTGAACAATTTGTCGTATTTTGAAACATCGGAGTGTTTGCAAATTAATTGACTGTTTTGAAGAAAAAAATATTTGTGTTTTATATACTACGGATGATTGCTATATTTTGTTCAAGATAACATAACATGAAAACAACGACAATTTGTTAGTGTATTATCTGTTCCTTTTTTCTTTCTCTCATGTATTTCTAATAAAATATGTAATACATGATTTTGGAACGAATATTTATGGTGCAATTTATAGATCTGGAAGAAGGACATATTAATTAAGGCTTAGTAGCAGGATTTACTCTAGTGGTTATATTGTCTTTTGTATTTATGCCTAATGTAAAATGTTACACATGAAGAAGTCAAAAGCGTTTTGATCAATCAATATATGTACTTTAAGTTTAAAAATTTACAAAATGAGAGAAACATAATCGAAAAGTGTCCATAAACTTAAGAGAATCATTTATTCATTTGCAAATTGTATATTGCATTTGTTTATATGGTTTTCCATACGTATTTATCATGTTTCTTCTCAAATTAAATAAAACCACTTATTGTTACTATATATTAAGACCAGATTTCAGTCAGTAGAATAATTCTTTCTTACTGTTACGATACGCGAACAATTATTATTTGAGGTGCTTCATCTAAAAATAGATAATATACAAGATATTTATGTTGAATTTCAATGCTGGTTTTATGAAAGAATAATATTAAGTATCTTTCTAAAATGTGTGAGCAAACAGAAATTAATTATTTGGATGGAGATGTTGTTTGGGTGAAACTTGGAGGTTGTTGGTGGCCTGGACAAGTTACTGGGTTCCACAATTTACCTGAAGATATTCAACATGGATTTCAAAAGAAACCTTTAATAGCTGCTGTGAAGTTTTTTCAAGAAGATACATAGTAAGTAATCTTCAACTTATTTTTATTATATACTAAATCTATTAATGTTTTTAATATCATTTTTGGCTGATAGATATTTATATCTTTTATATATATGTGTGTGTCTTATTAATTTTTTCAGTGAATTTGTCAAGAACTATCAACAGATTTATAAATACAACTGTACCCTGAAAGATGAATTTATCAGGAAAGGATTAGGTAATATTTCTTATATTTAGAATAGTATATTTCTTATGTATGAGTATACAGTTTAAAATAATATATATAATAGGGTAGGTTAGGAGGTCATTCAAACTTATTTTTTTTTTTACTTATTTTTGCATATCAAATATTCTCCTGCCCAGGTATACCATCCAACCTGACACATTTTGTATAATTATACATTTTATAACATTACTTGCAGACAAATATAGAAGCAGATGCAAAGATGGATCCAGATACATGGACAAATTTCCTGGAGATGTTGAAATGGCTGAAAAGTTAACAGGAGGAGATCCTGATATATTAAGCCATGATAAATTTTCTCCAGAAGAAAAGCCAAATATATCAGCTTTATTTGGAGACAAGAAAATTCCTAAAAAGAAACGAGAACGTGAGGAAGGTCATAGAAAAAGTGATAATAGCGAAGTTGTACGAAAAATCACACATCCACGATTTTTAAAAGAAAGTGATCATGAAGTTCGGATACGTCAACAACCTAGCAGCTTACCATCTACACCGAATAATAGTGGGTCTCCACAATATCCTTGTCATTTATGTAATTTTACTTCCTCGCGAGTAAATGTTATTATTTGTCACATAAAAAGCCACAGATCAGGAAATTCACCAATGTCCAAATCTAAAGTAAAAACTTATTCTCAATATACAAGTAGGTATTCTGATGTAGATACTCCAAAAAGGAAATATACAAAGAAAGAAAAAGGTCAATCAAATAAGAATAAAAGCAGCAGTGAATCTGGAAAAAGAAAACAAATTAAGCAAAATGAAAAAGTTGCTAAAAAGAAAAAGACTTCAGATCCTAAAATTCGCGATACTATATTAGCAGATTGGGAAGATGAATCAGATGAAGAACTTAGCTTGAATCAAAGCAATCCAACTGATATAGCATCTATGAATGATTCATCACCAAAAAATCAATTTGATTTTGACAAATCAGAAGAACTTAATGAAAAGAATAATACACTACCAGATGCTAGTGAAATTATTGCAGAAACTGAAAAATTACTTAAAGAAACCGAGACGCTTACAACAATTAACATAACAGAAGATTCTTTATCTGATAGTACTAATACTTCGAAAAATCTGAAATCAAATCTTTTTGATAAACAGTCGTCCGAATTAGAAAAAGATGCTAGGATATCTGATGTTGAGAGTAATGAATTTACTAATAAATCACAGACGGAAAAAGAAACTTTTAATATTGACAGCGAAAATAAACCTACTGCATCAAATAAAGATAAAAAATTATTATTATCTTGTTTTGATTTCCATGAAGAAGAACCATCCATACCCCCTGTAAGGAAAAAGTCTCGCGCATTTCATCAGAAAAAAGAAATAATAAAAGAATTTGAAATGAGTCAAGCTTTAAAAACAGAACAAGAAAGAGAAATTGAACATAGTAAACCTGAAGATGAAGATAATAATACTAGTTCAAATGAATGTGAAAGATTAAATACACAGTCATCTTTAAGTGAGCAGAGTTTAGAAAAAAATAAAAACAATGACAAGGTTATAATTAATGATAAAGAGACAAATAATAAACTTGAACATACAAAGGAAAAAATTAAATCTGAGAAAGAATCAGAAAAAACACAGAAATCTAATGTTAATACTTGTGAAACAGAATTAGAAATCGTGGAAATATTTGAAGTTGAAAGGATTGAAGCTGAGAATGAAAATACTACAAATGCTTCAAAAAATGTTGAGACACAAAATTCTCCTACAACAAATGTAACGTTAAATATTAATAAGAAATTAACAGAAAACAAAAATTTAGATGTACAAAATATCCCCATTGATGATGAACAAACAGATATTAAAGATGCAACTATTAAAGGAAATGCAAAAAATGTAAAACAGGAACCTTTAAAGCAAGTTGAAGAAACTTCGTCTGAGCGTTTTACAGTAGAAACAGAAGATGAAGCTATGTCTGAATCTGCTGAAACATTTCCAGAACAAAGTGAAAATTCAGATGCAGATATGCTGGATCAAGATCAAGTGCCTAATTCAAATTCTACAAAAATTTTATCAAATGACGATCAGTTAAATATTACTCCACAAGCTCGTAAGTCCAGTAGTAAATTAAGAAAATCAGAACCTATGCGTGCTAATACTAGTGAAAGTGCCAGTGGTAGTGAAAGCCCAAAAATAAGGGATAATAAGAGTAATTCAAAAATATTTGAAAAATTTGAAATAGAAAGAACATCAGAATCTGATAGCGAGCGTTCATATGGTCGAAGAAAACGAAAACCAAATAAAAAATATTTAGAATCTGATATATATGTACAAGATGCAGATCAAATGATATGTAAGACTGATGAAAGTCAATCTGAAAGTGAGGAAAAATCTTCTGAAAAAATAAAAATTAAATCAAAGAGAAATAGGAAATTTATAGAAAATATTAATAAAACAAGCAAGGACATTGATCTTAAAGAGGAAAAAGAAATAGAAATTTCCTGTAATACCATACATACAACAGAAAATAATGTTAATTCTTCAAATATAGAATTAAAAGATGAATTATTTGAGAATACATCTAAAAACCAAATGTTTATAGAATTAGATACAAAACTTGCAGACAATCAAATTTCTATTGAAATTCCTAAGAAGTTACAAGTATCAACTGAGGAAAAAGTTCTACTAAAAGAATCTGATACATCTGTCCTTGAAGATACAAAATCTGTAGTCACAGAAGATAATGCTGCTAAATTAGAAAGTACAATTCTCGAATATGAGAAAACAAAAGACAATGATACTGAAAGTGTATTAATTTCAAGTAATCTTTCACAAGAAGATTTAAAAGATTTAGAATCTCCTACTTCTCTTCAACTGGAACTTTCATCAGAGAAAGAAGCATCTTCTTATCAACAATTAGATACTTCAAAAACTGTTGACATGCTTCCTCCCAAAAAATCTCAAATAAAAAAGTTTGAATTATCACAAATTGATATTTCTGGTACTGATGAAACTCAAAAAATCATGATAGATCCTAAATTAAATAGTGGACAAGAACAAATGAAAAATTTAACTACTGAAACAATTGAAACTAGTACAGATACAGAGGCAATTAATTCTTTAAAGCAGGAGAAAGATGCTCCAGAAAAACTTGAGATAGACACAAATAATGTAGAAATTACAAAAGATGCAAATCAAATAGAGGAAGAAAATAAAATTCAAGGTGGAAACACAACTATACCAATAAATCAAAAAATTCAGCATGTGGAAATGGAAACATTGGAAAAAGAAGAACAAAAAACTAAACCAGAGAATTTAGAACAATTGCCTACAGACTCAATAAGTACATTAAGTGAGCAGCAAGCTCAAAATAGAACATCTATGCAAACAAGATATAAAGGAAAATTTACACCAGATACATGCACAAAATTAAAGAAAGATAAAGAGTTATTTCCTGAAGAAAAATCAACAAATACGTTCCAAGAAGCTTTCTTAAAAACTTTGCATATTGACAAGAAAAAGGGTATAGTTAATGAATCTGATACAACTGGTAAAGGAAAAAAAGGTAAGAAATTAGTGAAGAAGAAGCCTGAAGAAGAAATAGATAGAAATACATCTTCTGAGACAACTCAAAATATGACAACTGAAGATCCAAATATTCCAGAAAATTATCCTAATCTTTCTCAAGATAACAATTCTCAAGTCGCAGTTATGAGCAATTTTGAAGGTATAGAAGTAGTAGTTGATCAAAATCTTGAAATTGATGCTAAAGTGGATGATACTATTTTTCAAAATGTTGACCAACTTACATCAACAAACGAATTTAATATCATGCCTAAATCATTGATACAATCACCTACTGAAGACAGTACTAAATCTATCAATATAGATGTGCAAAAGTTAGATGAATCTTCAAGATCATTAACTTCTACACCTTCCCCATCATCAGATGTTAATGTACCAGTAAAAAAACGTGAAATGCCACGAATAATTGAAAATGTAACATTGACTGAACCTATGCAAATTTTAAAGTCAAAATTATTAGACAAATTACCACAGAAAGGGATAAAACATAAATTAGAAACCGATGGTACAAAAAGATGTGATCAAAAGGGTGGTCCAAAAACGAAAATAATGAAAATTGAATCTGCATCTTCAAATATCAAACTGAAAACTGGTTCAAAGGTTACATCTCCACATTTGTCTTTGACTAAAAAGTTACAAGTTTTAAAAGCTGAAGAAGCAGAAACAGCTGCTATGTTAGAGGCACAAAATGAACAGTTAAATGTAAAAACTTCGAAAATTCCAACTACAACTACTACAACTGAAAAATATATTCAACAAAGTTCACAAAGTTTGGCAGATATGGAACTAGATATAAATTCAATGCCATTTGTTTTAAGTGAAGATGTTTTAACTCCAGAAAGCATTGAACAAATGCCTGTTGTTATATCTTCTATTATACCTGCATCTAGCACAATTCCAACACTATCTTTTACACCAACTACGCAAATAGTATCTCCCACTCAAAGTCAGTTCAAATTGAATGAAACTACAAATGAAATGTCACCTTCAAAGAAAAAGAGTGGTACTCCAGCAATTTTGAAAAACAAAACTAAAGCAAAACCTACAATTACAAGTATAAAAACGCTAGTGCCACCACTTACAGGTGGTGTGAAAGGTATAAAATTTCAAAATACACCAACAACAAACAAAGTGCCACCTCTTTTAACACAGAAGAGTACATCAGGAAAATATGTAGTAGTACAAACATCTGGAGGTCAACAATTGCGATATGGTGTTCAAGGAAAAACTGGTGTGCAACAAAAAATTGCTATACCTGGTAAAAGTACTGGAAACGCCCAAGTTGTTCATCAAGGTAGTAAAGTAGTTATATTAACATCAGCACAATCAGGCCAAACTAAAATGCTACCTTTAAATATTTCTAAAACATTAAGTGGTAAGGTTCAAAGAATTATGACAAATAAGGGTCAAGTGTATTGCCCTATCAGTCCTCAGGGTATTATAAATTCAAAAACACTCATTGCTCCAAAAGGAGATGGTGTTTCAGCAACAACATCTAAGCTTCCTGCTGGACATAAAATTATTAACACACAAGGTATAATAGCTTCAAAAGGACTTCTAACTCCTATCTCAGGAACAATTGGAAAGACTGCTTTACTGGGGACATTATCTCAAGGAATTTTCACAAAAGGTGGAATTTATACGCCAATAAGTGCTTCTACTTTGGGTGGGAAAACTATCATTGGATCAAAAGCCCTGGTTACAAAAGGTACAACCATTTTATCTTCACAGAATTTAGGTACTTCTAAAGCTATTTTGACCCCCATATCTCAAGCTATTTCTGGTAAAACAATTTTAAGCACTCAAGGTATAGTAAGCAGTAAGGCAACAGTTTTGACACCAATAACAGGACAGCAAGTAAAAGCTATTGCAGCAAAAAGTCCATCCAAAGGAAATAAAGTACAATACCAATCAACGCAACAAAAAGTACAGCTTCCTATGTTACAAAAATCGCAAAAAGTTCCAATGTCTGCTACTTCACAAGTAAGATCTGGTCAAATGAAAACTGGTGGCAGCAGTACAGTAGTATTGCAAAATACCATTCCTACACAAAAGACTGTGCAACAAGGAAAGAAAGTAATTAAACAGACAGTTGTACAGCAAGGTTCTACTATTCAAAATATTGTACCTCAAAGTAGCCAACAGACAATAGGTATAAGTCCACAAATTCAACAGAAAGGAAAATCTGTATCTACATCAACTATACAAAAAGTTATTATACCCCGAAGTAATCGACCTCAAAAAACACAACAAAAAATAGTTGTTCAAAAAGTACAAGAACCTGCAATTACGACTGTACAAAATATTCAATCAAAACAAACGGTCTCAGTACCACTAACTACTGTACCAAATGTATCTAAAACAACAATTCAGCAAAAACAGACAGCTAGTACTACTGCAACTACAAGAATTAGTACAAAAGGCCAATCAGTAAATAAGACTACTACACAACAGCAGAAGAATTTGTTGAACATTGCAATGAATTCAGTAACTACGACTAACGCGAATACAAATGTTTCTACGTCTTTGTCTCTTCCACCATTAGAATCTACTGAATCTGAGAGGAAATCGAAAATAGATAATGTGCTTATTGAACCATTTCAAAAGGACCAGCCTAAACTAGAAAATTTCAATGTTGAGAAAGGTAACGAAATAGAAAAAATAGAAGAACCGAAAATAACGACACAACCACAAATAATGGCTTTGCCAACAGAAAGTACTGATGGAACACAAACTTATGTTTTGGTAACTATTGATGAACAAGGACAAATACAACCTCTTGATAATAATACTCTTATGTCACTAGAAGGTACTACGCAAAATCCAGATGGCACAAGAACATTATATATAGATCCTAGTTCATTAGGAGAAGCAGGCACATTAGATAACATTGTTCTTCAATTTGATAATGCTGTATTACCAAATATACAAACAAGTGCTACAGAAACTACTCAAACAATTATATCAGAAAGTCTTCCTACTTCAGAAGTAATACACACATCAAATCAAGATATTTTAGCCGCTGCTCTGGCAAATACAGATTTTCAACAAGAGATCAATTTAACAGAAAATCCGGCAGGAAACGTAATGACCACTGGTTTGACTCAAACAAGTTTAATTAATCAAACTATCTTGCAGTCAACTATTGTACCTCCTACAGAACCAATATCTTCTCCTTGTGTGCTTGAAACTTCATTGACTTTAAATCAACCCATAATGACGCCTTTAGAAGTGCCTAGTAATTTGCCAATACAATCAGAGTCAACTCCAACTTCTGCTGTAACAACCATCCCGTCTTCTCTCGAACTACCAATAACAATCACAAGCCCTAATATTTCATATATTTCGACGGGAGAAGCACAAATACAAATTCCTGGTAATTCTATGCCAGATATTGGAGAAATTATGGAAAATCCAAGTACAGCAGAGATCGCTCGGGCGGAAATCCCCGCAAGTACTCAATATTTAGTATTACCAAACTTAGAAGATAATATTGCTGTAGGAACTTCGAGTGAACAAAGTAATACTATTTCAATGCCTAGTGTTTCATATTCAGTTTCAATACCAAATAATATAGTTTTACAAACTTCACAAGTTCAAACTACTCCTTCAATGCCAATAATAGATGATACCTATGCTGAAAATGTGCAATTTGCTTCAACTATAGAACCACCAATGGCACCAGAACAGACTTTTGTAGATGTACCTGTTTCTGAAATGCTTGTTTCAAAACCAGTTGTTTCCAAGAAAAACATAAAATCGCAAGACACTGCTGTAACATCAGAAATGGTAGTAACTCATAATGTTTCTACATCTTCCCAAGAATCTATTGTATCAACAAATGAATCTCCTTTATTAAATGAAGAACAAGATACCACAATACCATTGCAAGAAGTATACTCTTCTCAAGAAATTTCTATTAAGTCAGAAGAGATGCTCTTGGAACAAACAGTTACTAAGGAAAAGAATAATTCAAATGTGGGAATTAGTAGCCAAAGTGAAGAAGTTAGTAATAATGATAATGTAGTACATGTACAAATTATGGAGCAACCGGATGATGCAATGACAAATAGTATGTCATTAATGGATGATAATACTTTAGTTACTTCTGAATCCAATGCAAAAATTTCGTCTGAAGAACATGCGAATTTTGAAGTTTCAAATTCAAATGAAATAGATACAAATAGGTCACAAGAAACACAGAATATAAAAAAATTTAAAGAATTAAGTTTTAATGAACAATCTGCTAATGAAGTTCATTCTCCCATATGTGAAAAACAAGCAGCAACATCCAATGAAGTAGAAGTTGCTCAAGAAGGGGCACAAATCCTACCAGCAGAGTCACTGAACCGTTTAGATGAACATAGTATGGATATAGATGAGGTTATTGAATCTAAAATTTATGCTGCAAATACAATGAAAGAATCCGAAGATTCTCAAAGAGATGAACCATCATCTCAAGGTGAATCAGATTTGATTCAAAGAAATTTAGAATTACATTTTGGAGAAACAAATGCAGAGGCTAGTCATGAAATACCATCACAATCATATGAACAGTTTGGAATAGCAATGACTACTGATTCCACTGATTTACCTAGTCAATCTGCTACAAAGTCTGAAAATTCAAAAGAACCATCACAATCAATAACATATGAACCTATGGAAACAGATGAAGAAGCTGTTGTAACAGAACCACCAACACAATCATTTGAACATTCAAAGATAAATGAAGCTTCTCAATCATATGAAGCATCTGCAGAAGCAAGTACAAACGCGCCTACCCAATCTTTTAACGAATTAATGCAAAGTCAAGAAGAAAGATCAACTATTGATGATGCAATTGATGATCAGACGTTCCCAACACAGAGTTATGAAGTTGGTAAAGCAGAAAATATTCCAGAAAATTTAGAAACGGATGCTGAAATTAGTCAGGAAGGAAATATGCCATCTCAATCTAACGATATTGGTACAGATGGGATTGGCACATCCTCAGTTTCTACAAATAATTCTGGACTTAATGAAGATGAAACTGCAAGTTCGTCTTATGTTCCAGAAACGCCTGAGAATCAAGAAAGAGATCCAGATCAAGAAAGTGCAATAAGTACGTCGTCTTGTGAAATTCCACCTTGTGCTGAGTTGAATATTGCATCATCTAGTGCAGAGCATACAAGTATCCATGACAATGGAGTACCTGAAATACCTACATCTTCATATAATTTGAATCCAGACATTACTTCAACTCATGTGGATTCTGTACCAACCTCTAGTTATGAAGAGCAAAATGTATCAACTTCTTATGAAGTTCCAATCTCAATGCCAGGTCTAGAGGAAACATCCTCTCAGAATTTTGTTACAGAAAGTACAGATCATAGAAACGAACCATCTAGTTATTATACTCATCACCAGGAGGTAACAGCAAGCTATTATGAATCTGTAGGGCAAGAAACAAATTCGAGATTAGTTGAAGATCCACAAGAGGAAGTTACTCCTAGCTATTATGACAGTAATCCACAAGAAGCAAGTCAAAGCTATTTTAATCCAGAGGAAGCCACACCAAGTTATTCCAGTCATAATGTCTCTCCCAGTTATTATGATCACAGACCAGAAAGTGAAGCAAGTCAGAGCTACTATTCTGCAGATGACATAGAAAAATCAGAGCAGTCTTCCTCACAAAATATTGAGGCATCACAAAGTTTCTATCAAGAACAATCTGATGAATTAAAATTAACTCAACAAGGAGAAGCTACACCAACATATACAGAAAGATATCCAGTTGATTACACATTAGAGAATTCACCAATAGACAGGCACGATCTTGTAGAAAGTTCTGTATCAGCCACTAGGCCTACAGAGAGGTAATATATTATGATGAGAAGTAGCGTTGTGCTATAAAAAGAGTCCTTGTTTTTATAGACTAATGGACATTACAGCCATTGATAGATAAACTCATCTATTTTCAAATGTAAATATAATATTAAGATGATAAATAACTAAATATAAGTTAAAATTAGATTCTTATCTATAATTTATAACTAAACATATACATATATATGTATATATATGTATGTATACATACATACATACATACATACATACATACATACATACATACATACATACATACATACATACATACACACACACACACATACATACATACATATATGCATACACGTTATCACAAATGCACAATGCTTATGTACATCTGTGCATAAATATGTATGTATATATGTGTATATATTAATTATATATATTCGTACATAGAATTTGATAAGTGAGCAGTGTAATTACAGAGGAAAATTATGGTTTTGTTACAAAAATATTATCTTATACATATATCCATCTTATTTAATATATTGAAAAAATATAAACATTTCAATATATTGAATTAGATTATCATTCATAGCTTCTTTCTCCTTTCTTTTAACTAGATACAATACTTTATCATATACTAAATTGATTATATGTTTTCAAATACAATACATATTCAATGTGTATATTGTAAAATTTTGTAAACTGTCATTGGGATAGTAGTAACAGCTGTTAATTATTGCTAGTTTTGCAATAAAACTTAATAGTTACACTATATGGACAAATACAAAATGTAAAATATTTGTATATTATCGTGGGTTCTTATGGAGAATAATCAGAATCGAATAAAAATCAGAAAAATAATTCAGTGAAACTTTACTACTACTCCATAATGACAAGTCCTAATGAACGTATAAAAACTAAATGCACAATATATCTTCAGTAAGTACCAGTAATGTACGTCCCAAGATATTTGTAAAATTCAAATAGAAAGTTTCTTAGATTATTCTTTAAAGACTTAATTTTTCAAATAAGTTTTTCATTCTCCGTTTTCACTACTTATGAATCTATTTACTGACAGGAAAGTCTTTATGTATAATCAGAAGTGTAGATAATTAAGAGAATCAAGAATTGAATTATTACACATACATTGTTTATTTGTAGGTAATAGTTTACATTTATGAGAAATAAAGAAGCCTATTATTTGAATTATAATAATGTATAATCCGTGTGCTGAAATGTAAAGAATAAAAGAATTTAATAGGAGATCTGTCATGTTTGAAATGAGTTAATATTTACAGGGGAGTAAATTAAAAATAAATTAATAGAAATAAACGATTTAACGTAAACAAGATCATTTTATTCCTGTGAAATATTTACAATTACATGCCGCAATTTTATATGTACAAATTTTTACACATGCGTATTAATATACATGAATATTTTTAATAGTTTTAACATGTTTTAATAGTTTTTCTAATAATTTAGAACAAATAATTCTTTTTGAAGAATGATGTAACCCTCAAACAAGACAGATTTCCCCACATATTCTAATATAAAAACAGTTATATTATATTCTTTATAAACTCATGTTATCAAAAAGAAATTTGTTTTTATTTCTCGCGGCGTTTTCAATCGTGATCACGCATGTATATATTATGTTACTGTTACGGGAAGAAAGTTATTGACTATGATATATCGGATTTGATGGAAGAGAAATTAAGTCAGAGAAATTTTCGAAAATGGACTGAATTGTTAATATTCTTTGATTGCTTCTTGAATTCAATCAATATATACATAAATACACATGTACATATATTTTTCAAAGCAATTATATTATAAAAGTTTCTATACTTATAAATAGTATGTAATACTGTGAAATGGGGAAAATATAATTACATTTTCTATTAAAATTTTCTGGTACAATCGTAAGTTGGGATATAATTGCTTCATTGAAGTAATCAAATTTAAGTGACATAAAGTGATATTGATTAAAATAGCATTAATGCGTTGTTATATGGATAACAATTTGATATTTTCATCACTAACAATATTATCTTTTTATTTCTACAGTGTGCACCACATACACGATTGTAACTAAGAGATAAAATAAATACATAAATATTTACGTAACAAATTATATATACAATAAATGTTTTTGTTGTTTTATTATTTGGACATGCCCATTACAATAAATTTTTGCCTGTAAAAAAATATATTTACTATTTTATTTAATGTATTTTCATAAAGAAACTAGTAAGCAATATTTTTATTGTACTTTAAACTGTAATTTACGAAAATTGTTGACATATATATAATTTACATGTATAGTTCACATATATTATGCAGTAAAAATTTTTTTTATTATGGTCATATGACATGTTAATTATTAAACATTTTTGTATGCAATTTACAAACGTATAAAAGGTTCTAGTATATATTTGTTATTATTATCAAAGATTTATTACCTAAAATAATCCCAAAATACAATAAATTATGTTACATTTATAGATGTATGGTCATTTATATACAATTAGTAATATTTGCAATAGTTATGAAGGAACACAGTCTTTACAATCATTATCTCGATTGATTTAGTTTTATTTTCGCCAGTATTGTGCAAACTTGTGTAATTGTTCCACTAATACTGCCATTACAGCTGTTACTGATAAGTCCAAAAGATTATGTACATAATGCACTGCTTCTTCGTCGCTCAAATCCAATCGTAGTTTATCTTGAACTTTTTTAACAGCTTTATCTGGTTCTAAAGCTATGTCTGGTACACTAGCATCAACCATTAACGAAAACAAATTTAGAATTAAATTTGCATGTCTGCGCAAATGTAGAAATGCAGTATAACATTGTTTTCGAAATTCATGATAATGTTCCGAACCTACGCCTCCCATAGCTTCAACCATCTCTTTACTCAATTTCATTGGTGGTGGTAAAGGCTTTGGATCTCGACCCAAAATATAGCCGAAATCTATATGAAAGAGTTTCCCTAAAATATAAATGTTATTCGGTTTTATGAACTGCTTATAATTTTATATATGTATGTTTATTGATTTCACAGCTTATATAACTAACAAATTTATACCAGAAATTACCTGACGTTGTTAAGAGTAAATTATCTAAATGCCGGTCACCAACACCAAGTACATATGTGATAATGCAGTAACCGGCTGAAATTTTATGATTTTATATAATTCAATTTGATATGAATTATTTTGGCAAGACATAATTCTTACCACAACTTCGAACATAAGTATCCATAACTTCAGGTACAACACCATAAGGACCATTTTCGGATGGATGATGTTTTCGGAAAAAGCTTAATATGGAACCTTCACTAGCTAGAACTTCTGCAACTGTTGTAGATTCAATAAATTGTAAAAAACCATGTCTAGTACTTGTTGCAAGTACCCTAAAAATAAAGTAATTCATATTTTAAATAACGTTATATGTTGACAGATTGTTCTAAGAACTTTTACCTGTAAGGAGTAAGCTTTAAATCCAAATTTTCTCTTCTTAATAATTTATCCATAAGTGCAATTGTTTGTAAAATTAATTGATCTTGTCTGAGGTCATCGCCATGTTTAAAAATCGCAATGTATTCGCTGTTTTCCGTTGTTAAAAATGTTAATTTAGAAGGCATAAGAGCCGATTTAAAAAGACTGGCTCTAAAAAATAACTTACATTACTTAAATATATCATATATTATTATTATGTAAAAAGAATTGCACATACTTTTCAGGTATAATTCCCTTGATACAAATTTCTGGATCCAAGGGAAAAGGTATTGGTTCAAAATTGGAAAAATTGATTTTAAATGCTGGATCCGGATCTGCCAATAATATCCTGAGCCGGTCAGTTTTCTTTTTACGATTTCCGCTTTCTCGTGCAACTGCTTTTACCAATGCTACTAATTGATCAATAAACATTTTTTGGCGTAAAAGAAATGCTCTTCTTTTTTGCCAAACAGCATTTCCTTGTGCTAGCATCATTGAAAACATTGACATTACAGTATTATACATTTCTTTAACCCGAGTATCTTGTTTTGCACTTATGGATGGATCACTTTGATCTTCACATTCAATAGAGAGATACCAATAAAAGTAATTAGCCAGTGTAGTATTTTGGCATGCACGAGTAATCAGAAAAGATGCCAAATCCATAAGAGAATCTTGACTTGCTGAGAAATGTCCACTTTCAGATTCACTGGACTGTAAATCATGTATGACTATTCGTAACAAATTAGAGAAATTCAATGTTTATACTATAAAATTACTTACCGTTGTTACAGCTGTAGATGAAGAATCATTAATTTGTACTTCTCTATCTAATTTTTCAACTTTTTCAGATTCCTTTTCTTTTATTAATGTTTGATGTGCCCTTTTGATGCTTTCAAAATCTTCATACTTCAAAGCTTGTACTAATTGCAACAAATACAACATTAAGTCATCATCAGGTGCTTGATTAAGTCGAGTAATAGCATATCTTCTAACAGCTGGGTGTGTAAATGCTGGGCCAAGTAACTCTAATGCATCTTCAGGGTCAGGTGGTGCCCATAATGCTAACATTTCTAATGCTTGTCGTTCTTCTCCAGCAACTTTCCAATTTACGCATTTCACGAATTTTGTTAACGCCTTCTTTTGATTTGACAAATAAAATCTATATTTCCAAATAAGATCTTGTTCTTCTGTAGAAAGAGCCGTTGTTGGCGGATAACTTAATATTATGTTTAAAGCATCACGAACATTTGAAGTTGGTTTTAATTCTCGAGTATGACCACCGCTTCGTAAACTTCGAGCCAATTTATGATGTTTTGCTTCCACAAGATTTTCCTAACAATAAAAACATATGAATGAATATAAGAATTATATGTATACTACACATAGATATATATAAGATAATGATTTAAAGGTAAACCAAATAATAAGAACTGACTTTTTTATCTTCTTTCTTCCCTGGAAATATTTATAGCTTTCATGATAATAATCATATAAATAAAGTTGAAATCTATTGTATATTTTATATAAAAGTTTGTAATTATACTTACTTGCAAAATTTCATAATCGGGCAAAGTTACAACATCTGGTTGTGATCTGTGTTGAACAACTTCATCCCCATCTTTTTCATAATACACTATAGAGTACTATAAATATATATAAAATATTTA